TGGAGAATAAGAGGAGTCTCTCCGATCGGTGGTGTTCGCTGATGAGAGAAGAAGAGAGAGAGAGAGGTGCTTTGAGAAATCAGAGCATATGATATGAATATATGTGGGGTAGTTTGGTCATTTTGCTTAAGTTTGTCGCCAAACTATTTCAACGCATGGGGGCTTCTATATACACACACCTAATCCCCTCTTTGCACATCCTTCTCACTAAACACACCAAAAAAAATAATTCCTAATTAGTTTCCTCAGTACACACACGGTGAGTTCCAAATGTACCCTCATACACACACACACACACACACCCGACCCCAAATACACACACCTATTGAATCTGAAACACATCTTCAACCTTGAAGCATTCCATCACATACAAGTTGAAGCACCTATTCAAACTGAAGCACATCTTCAACCGTGTGCAAATACATAGAAGCATTCCATCTCATTACTGTGTGCAACCCAGGTGTGCAAATACATTGAAGCATTTCATCCATGAAGCTGCATCCCATTGAAGCATTCCATTAGATTTTCAATCCTCATTAGGTGAGTTTACTTTTGAATCATCATTCCTATTCAATCCTCATTTCATCTGTAATGTAGAGTTTTTCACTTGGAATGTAGAGTTTTTGATTTGGAACCGTCGTTCGGAACTGGTTAACCGAAATATAACAATGTGTTTGGACATAGGAATCTGAAAATAATCAATAATTTCATCAGTAGATTTCTGAAAATGTTACATTGTTTCGATAGTCAACTTCCGAAAAAATTGAATTTGGACAACACTCAACCTCCGAAATTATGTTTTTTGTTTCGGATTTCAACTTCCAAACAGAATATGTATTTTCGGTTGTGAACTTCCGAACATGTTTTTTTTTTTTTTTTCCCTTCTTAATTATAACACTTAATTAAAACACCTATTATAATTTAAAACACTTATTATAATTTACACACATTTATTATAATTTTACACACTCTCATTAATTTTACACACACTCTCTTTATTTACACACACACTCATTACACACACTTATTATTTTTTGCAGATAATATGGATTCTGAATATCAACAACGTGTCCCACCTACTGCTTCAAATAGACGACGTCGTGAATTGGATGTAGACCATGAACGGGGACGAGGGCGTGGGCGAGGACGAGGTCAAGGTCGTGGTCGAGGTCGTGATCCAGTTTCGGTAGAATATGATATTCCCAGTGCCAGTCAAAGTCGGAGCCAAAGCCAAAGACGAGTTGAAGGTTATGATATGCCTGACATTGCTGTGGAGGATACCTCTTTACCTGATTCTCCTCCTGTCCAGGAAGAGTACCTTACTCATGCTTTTCCAGGTGGACCGACTGATCCATCAATACTGCGAAGTTTCAATAGTCATGTGGCTGCAGCTATTTGGCACGGAGAGGTAAACATTCCTCAGTAAAAGTGAAATTCATTTGTATATGAGTTTTTTTTTGTGTGTGTTGTATGGGAGTTTGTAATGACATATCATTTGTGTTGTAGGAACGAGGGCCCCTAAAGTGTCAAAATCACTCTTCCAAGATCCTTGCATGGCCATGGTGGTTAGTAGAGAACAACACCAGATTCAAAGCCATTATTGAGCAGTCTGGATTGTCACAGTTAGCTCGTTGCACTTATCGGTTCGTCAACAAGCTTCTAATCTCCAGTTTTGTTGAGAGATGGCAACTTGAGACGAACACATTTCACATGACAGTTGGTGAGATGACCTTGACTGTGGATGATGTTGGCACTATTCTTGGCCTTTCCATTGTAGGCAAATTAGTTAGCATACCAGATATGACAGATCATCATGGAGTTACATTACTCGTTTATGGCTTGGGGATTACTAAACGTGCAGCACATGAAGAGGTTTCTTCTGCTGGTGGCAACCTGTGAGCCCTCATATCAAAAGGACAACCACACTTCTTCGTACCGGTTATTCTTGATGTATTGTTGCCATCATGTTTTAACTTCTTTGTCACTCTATATTGGCCATTCCTCTTACAAGCAAGATACATCCTGGGTCTTTTTTTCCCTCCACCATAGTCTGATGTTTTGATTACAATGATCAAACCATTTCTCTTTCCAACTTCACGTACCCAGTTGAGCAATTCATCCTTACTTTTGAATACCTACAAAGTTAAATAAATATTATCAAACATTTACATTTGGTGAGCAATTCAAAACATAATCGTTATAATTTCGTAGACTAAACCTGTTCTGTTGTGAATTGAGTGGTGTAATCTAACACAAAATCCGCACAAACCTGACTTCCTTGAGTTGACACATATTCCTGCATGTTTTGTATAACATTACAAATTTTTAATGGCATTATAAAGATTAATTTGCAATTTGAAACTGTAAATTTGGTATGCAGTTTACAAATTTGGAATATAAAATGGGAAAAAAAAAATTTACTTCATTCGGAAGTAGTTGTCCAAATTTATTTTCAAATTTCGGAAGTTGAATGTTGTAAAAGTTAACTTTGTTCGGACAACAACTTCCGAATTTAAATACCTTGCTCGGATAACAACTTCCGAAATTTATTACTTTGTTCGGACAACAACTTCCGAAAATAAATAATTATTTCAGTAGTAGATTTCCGAACCAAATAACACAATTCAGCCCTGGTTATCCGAACGACGCTGGGAAAAAAAAAATTAAGTTAAACTCACATTTCCTTCGCTCTGTTTCACATGAACACTTATTTGCTGATTTTCAGAAGACAAATCCTCCATAACAATGATGTTTTCCCTACGAATGACGAAGGTTGATGAATGAGTGCATTGAGAAGCTGCAGTGCATGTGCAATACGGAAATGCCAAAGCCCTTTGGTTTCACTTCTAGCTCAATGAACTTGGAAGAAACTATGAATGACTCTGCTTTCACTTCTAGCTCAATGAAGCTACAAACACGATGCAACAGATGTGAACTCTAGAGGGAGGTGTGCATGGAGATGTTTTGAATTAACAATGGTGTCTAAAATAGTAATTTCACTTAGGGATACAATTGTAATAAAATTAAATATCATTAAGTGTGTGCAAAGAGGGTATTTGGTGTGTGTAGATAGAAGCTCCCTCAACGCATGAACGTATGACCGAATAAAATCTAAATTTGAATTTATGAGCTGAGAGCCTAATGAAAATTACAAATAATGCCACATTTTATTTCCCATCCCTTTTCCAAGTAACTTAATAGGTTCCCTCCCATATAAAAATAAAAGAATAAAAAAATCATTAAAAGCTCTTAAAAACATCCAGAATAAGAAGAAGAACAAAAAAAAAAAAACCAACAACAATAACCACCACCACCATAAGCAACTCATTTATCATAAATTTCAAATAATAAGCTTTTATCAAAAAAAAAATCAGGGGGCCAAACTGATATAGTTAAAATTAGTATGGTTGTTATGTTTAACACCATAAGCGTTAGTTAGAGTTAGTTGGGTATTTATCCTATAAATATGAGGTCAGGTCCTCTAGTATTCAATTTATAATAGTTTGATATTGAATATTTCAGAGCTTGAGAACTCTTGTACCCATTTTGGAATTTTCTCTCTAATGAAATATCTTTCTTGATTGGCTCCATCATTTTGGTATTACAGCCTTGGAAATGGACATGTCTCTCAAATATTTGTTGATTCGTCATTCTTTCGTAATTCTTGTGGCTGCTAATTGCTTAAAGTTAGTTACAAATTTGACTAGAGTCGTAATCTACATACCTGACTTGAAGCCTCAACTCGTATCAAACCTCTAAATGGAGATCACAAATGAAGCTAAGTCCCTATTTACAACTTTGATTCTAAATCTTTGAGTTCCAAATTGTGATTTGACTTCGACTACCAATTTTGAGTTGTGACTCACAACGAGTTAAAGCTGAGAGTAATGAATCCACCATGTTACGAAGTCGCATCTACAGATTACCTAGAATCAAGTCAAGATTTGATTTTGCAAATCAGAGTCTACTCAAAGCCCTAGTTGAGTTCTAGTAATCGTGGCATGTTCTTGATCTGTTCTTGATCAAGATGCTGCCATCTTTGAAGACGATAATGAGGCGTTGACTTATGAGGAAGTTGATATTTGTGAATATGAAAAGGAAGTTTGTGTTTGTGACTATAAAGGAGTTCCAATCTTTAGCCACTATGGTGATGAAGACGACTCTTTTGTAGAGAGAGAAGGTGTCCTTGAAGATGAAAGTTTTGTAGATAAAACAAGTTTTGCTATTATATTGCTTCCTATGAAGGATGTGATTGCAATCTCACCTTCTATCCGTTTTTTAGATTCCAAGAAGATAAGTTTTATGAGTGTTGACTGAACTTTGATTCCAAGAAATACCTTTTATGCTATCTTCAAAGTTATTTGTGTCACGTTGTGTTGATTTGGTACCCAATCCAGCTTCGTGGAAAAAGGATGCGTTTATTTTGGACCCATGCGAGAAGCGTTTAATTATTTCTTGCTTCCAAAACGGCATGCTACATGGGTGGTCTATTCACACCTCAACATGGCTTCGGTTGATGTCCATGAACGAGAACTCATTTTGATGAAAAGATATTTGCTAGGATAATCTTGAATAAGGAATTGTAACTACTTAGTCTTGTTCATCGTTGCATGTCCATCATATTCTCATAAGTCATTATTTTGAGTCATTTTATTGATTTTGTTGTCTTGAGTCATTGTGTTGTAGTCCCAACTTGGGAACAAGTTGTTTTCTTTAGAAGGAAAGTCTGATATAGTTAGAACTAGTATGGCTGTAATGTTTAGCACCATAAGAGTTAGTTAGAGTTAATTGAGTCTTTTTCTTATAAATAGAAGATTAGGCCCCTCTAATATTCAGATTATGATATTTTGATATTGAATATTTCAAAACCTGAAAGCTCTTGTACCCATTTTGAAATTCTCTCTAATGAAATCTCTTTCTTGATTGGCTCCATCATAAACAGTAAGATATCATATTAAAGTAAAAACAGATATAATATACCTAGAAGGTGACCGTTCCTATTAGGAGCATCAACCATCAGTTTTTATCAATTTAGTGTAACTATTTTTTATTGTATAAACTGTAAACAGAATCTATAACAAACGGTCTAACACCAAATTCCAAGAAGAAAAAAAAAGAAAAGAAACCCTAAACAAATCCTTTTGTAGACAGTCACAAAAGTTTTGACATGACCACAGGGACATGTTTGTTAGAATCCAACATGAAGTTAAAATGTACATTTTCACTGATCCTCAGAAACAATGAACCGACATGGCATAAATCAGCCCTAAATCAGCCAAATTATAGCTGAGGCATGGCATGCCACGTCAGGACTAGTATACAACAAACTTTCTTCCTTCCCCCAAAATCCCTCTCACCATACTTGAGAAGGTGAGAGGCAAACAAATGCCTTTAGGTGATAACATGATTACACTCACACACCCGTAATGTACAAGCTAGCTGCAAAAACAATGTCACGCTTTATTGCATTGGAAGCAGATTCCATCTTCTTGTATAACGCGGAATTACCCATTATTGATGCCGCGTTTTTGAATTCACGGCATGTCTCATCTAGTCTGACAATGGTCCTCACTATCAACCCTTCAGGAACATCGGTAAGGTCACATATATCTGCAAATGGAGTGCCCTGCAACAGAAGAAAGTAGCTTAAATAAGCCATTCGGAAACAAGGGATAGGTTTTGGTCATGTGCTTTTGAACAAAGAGTTAAAAAGAGAACCTTTGCCCATTCATAGACCACTTCGACAAGACCAAACTTAAGATTTTCTTGAGCATACTCCTCAGGGTTAATCTGTACTTTGCAGTGCGCTTGAAGCTCCCCAAGTCTTATGGCGATTTCATACAATCTGTACTTGCATGGAAATTTGGGATTAGTACAAAGGAAGGAGATGAAACACAGGAAAGAATACAAGCCCATGCATGTACATAAAACATCAACTTATCAACAATGTATATATATATAAAAAATCAATTTATTGATTGTAACGTTTGGTTTATCAAGAATGATCTACAAAAAGGCATACATCAATTCAAACTTGAGTTACAATAAGTTTTCAAAAACAAGAACTTGGAAGTCTAAGCACCCTTATACTTACAAAGTCGCTTGCAAGGAAACATCAGAAACTCACAACTACTGTGTTTGGATAATAGATTTAGGTAGGGATCAGGAAATAGAAAGGAAAAAGCGAGGAAACGGAAAAAAAAAAAAAATCAATTTATGTTTTATTCACATTTCCCTCACCATTTCCTTTTCCTTTTCCTTTTCCTTTTCCTTTTCCTTTCCAAATTCTTTATCCAAATCCATGATCCAAACACATCCTAAAGATGTCAAGTACAATAATGTTTCCCATACAGACCAGATCAAAAGGTTATGGAAACTGTAAAACAGTACACGCACCGCCTTAATATTGTGTTTAAAAACCATGATTTAAAGCTTGTAGTTTTCCTGAGTATTATTCCTCCCCCTGGCTCAGGAAGCTCAAATTTTAGACACGTTAAATGTAGAAAAAACACCACCATCAACAACCAAAAACCAAACCAGTATATCTCAAAGACACAAACAGGAAAAAAGAAGAAGTAAATATATAAGAAAAAAGAGAACAACCTTTGTTTAGCCTGGGCCAGCCTGGGAGTAAGAGAAGGTTCAGAAGTATTCTTCTGCTGAAACACAAGGGCAGACATTATTGCCACTGCTTCTTCTGGTTCCAGATCATCCAGTTGGTTCTCAAACAACCATTCCGTGCATATCAACTCCTCCCCAGAATTCATCTCACAAGCAACGCGCCCTTTGATCTGAACAACCAGGTCAGTATCTATGCAGCCAGTTTCCTTCAGAACATCAATCTGCAGAGGCACACCTAAGATGTCAAAGAAGGATCTCTTCTGATTTGATTTTGAGAATTTATACCAAAAACCTAATGCCGTGCAATACAGAAGCATATAAAAAACACATACTCGACCCTGAAAGTCTGGCATCTGCTGAAGTGCTTCATCTGACATTTGAAACTTAAGAGCATCGACTTCCTCTCTATGACTCTTTATCAATTTTGCTAGTTTGATGTGTTCCCCCAATTTAACACACCCATGACACTTATTCTGTGCCATCTTCTGCAATAGGCCATTCCATTTGTGATAAACGCTCACAACTTCCAAGTCACTCAACCTCAGATCTGCCATGGAACTTCCATTAGAAATCTCAACTTTGGAGAAAGTTAAGTTTTATAAGAAATACGCAAGTATACAAATCTGGTACAGAAATATTACATAGATTATGTAATATTAGATTGGTTTGGTTGGTAACTATAATGCTGCCCCAATAATTATTATTTTGGGGCATTGAAAGAAAATACCTTTCACTGGATCCAATGCCTGAGGGTACTTTCCATCAGATTTTTTATCTAATAGCTCTTGCACAGTCTTAGAATAAGCAGCACTGCTATTATCTTCTAGAAGCCCACTTTGATTAATCTTCACTTTGCAATTGCATATAGATAGGATCTCTTTATTGTCAATCTCCCTAACCTCATAATTCACACCAGCAGCACTACCATGGTGAGGTAATTTTATGTTGACAACACCTGATCCTTTGCGAGCAGTGGGGGAAGAATAATATTCATCATCAAAACCACGTTTTGCTTTTGGTGCCAGTATCTGAAAATCAGCAGTCTTCTTATCTTGCAAATTACCACCAGTCAAGGAAGCTTGTGAAGTTGGTGGTAATTCCGGTGTTAGGACTAAAGCTATGTATCGTTTAGTATTAGTATTAGCAGAAGGTACTTTTACAATGACTCCAAGCAAGTGATCTTGGTCCTGCCAATTATGAACAAATAATTTCATTGAATATAATTATGAACAAAAAATTTCATTGAATATGAAATTGTTGTACCTTCTATAGTTCTTATGTACATATTATTTGGGACAAAAGAAAGTTTTCAAATCTTTAACACAGGGTGCATTGAACATATAACATGGTCAATAATAAAAACAAAGGCACACCTTATCAAATTAACCCAAAAAAGGTTAGTGAGTGAATTCAACAAATGCATGAAAATCCAGAAAATGAGCATTTGAAGATTTCAACAGGGAAGAACATGTAAAATCAAATCTGGTGTTGCAATCTTGACCTGTTGCTTAATTAAGGATTGTGAGTAAGAAGTGTTAGAGGGAGTCAGTTGTGGATCTCTAGGAAGATGGCGGGCACTTCAATGGCTCAAGATCGCTTGAGGCCTTGGAGAAGACCAAGGCAGCCTTAGAGATAGAGAGAACAGCAGCGAGGGACCTTGAACACTTAGGTGGTTATGTTGTGTGCAAGATAGACTAGTGCTCTTATCTTGCTGTGTATTATGATGTGATTATAATTGTGTTGTGGCTGCATTCATGACACCGTTATATAGACTCCAAGAGTATTGGAGCCCAAGCCACCTCTGGACAGCTGGCGAGCTCCCCTCAACTTGACATGAAGGTGATATCAGCCCTATTGTTGCATCCTATGATTCAGGCTCTTGGGAAGGTGTTAGAATTTACCAATTTACTCCTCCACCTACCATCTCCACTAGCACCCACTTCACCTACCACCTCCACTACACTACACCTACTACCCAAACCCTCTCCTATATAATGCCACTCTGATTTGTAATACTATATCATCAACACATCAATCTTGTAATATCAATCAATCAATATTACATCATTTTTTAACATGGTATCAGAGCTATCCTTTCTTTCCGGCGGGCAGCCGTCCGGCAACCATGCCTTCGCTGCCCGCTGGAGTTTTTCAACACACCTTTTTTTCAACAATGTTCTTTGCCTGCCTTTGATTCTCTCAAATACCCACCAATCTCCTCACAACCACAACCCATTTGTTAATTTCAGTCTTCAATGGCTGATTCATCTTCAACTCCTCTTTCATTCACTGAAGATGTGGCTGTGAAAGCCGTGAACAAGCGATACGAAGGTCTAGTCACGGTTCGAACCAAGGCGATCAAAGGGAAAGGAGCTTGGTACTGGGCACATTTCGAACCCATTTTGATTCGAAACCCAGAGACAACTCTTCCAAAGGCTGTCAAGCTCAAATGCACTCTCTGCGACTCTGCTTTTTCGGCTTCGAACCCATCTCGCACTGCTTCGGAGCATCTCAAGAGAGGGACTTGCCCCAATTTCACTTCCTTTTTGAAACCCATTTCGTCAATACCAGTCTCGCAACTGCCTCCTTTGTCTTCTCCTCCTCCTTCTCAGAATCATCGGAAGCGAAATTCGCAACATACCAACACTTCTTCGTCACGGTTTAGCGGCGTATAGTTCCTATCCCCCTTGAGTTTGCGGGGGGCTGTTAAAACCTATCACCTACTTCACCCACTTAAACCTACTCTGCTAAACCTAACCCACTACACCACTACCACCTCCACTTCACCTACTCCTTACCTACTACACACTCACCCTCTTCTATATATAGGAATCATGAATCATTGTAATGTACATCAATATATATCAATCAATAATACATACAATTTATTCTCTCCTTTCTCTATATCAATATATTTTTTACATGGTATCAGAGCAGGTTTAGAACCTAGTATTTTTCGCTTCACCGGCGGGCGGCAACCTCACCTTAGCCGTCCGCCGGACCTCAATCTATTCCGCTTATTTTCTACACATACCTTCCACTCTCCACAGCCGTAACTCTGCAAGAAGAGATCTCTAAGCTCTCTCTCCTTTCTCTCGAGAGCTTGTTTTTACCGCTGCTGTACATTGGATTGATGCAAGAACACTATGTCAGGCAAGGAGGAAGATGTCAAAGAGCATGAAGGTGTGGATGAAGATGTCCCAGAGGACTCTGAAAAGGCCATGCCATCACCCCAACAGGAGGAGGAAGCTGTTAAGAGCAAGTATGGGCCCAAGAAACCACCACTTATTTGTAAGGACCATGAACGTGCTTACTTTGACTCTGCTGATTGGGCTCTGGGGAAGCAAGGTGGAGAGAAGCCCAAAGGACCACTCAAGGCACTTCAACCTAAACTGCAGCCAACACAACAGCAAACCCGATACCGGAAATCGCCTTGTGGTCCGTCAGATGGTGAAGGAGAGAACACTCCATCAGAGGATGCAGCTGCAAATGAATGAGAGGCCACTGTTGGTCTTTTAATGTTGTGAGAACTAGTGGTTCGTATTCTAATATCTGAATAGGCGACCACTAAATTTCTGCACTCTCTTTCCCGACCTCAATGAGTCAACAAGAGACCACCACTTATTTGTAAGGACCATGAACGTGCTTACTTTGACTCTGCTGATTGGGCTCTGGGGAAGCAAGGTGGAGAGAAGCCCAAAGGACCACTCAAGGCACTTCAACCTAAACTGCAGCCCACACAACAGCAAACCCGATACCGGAAATCGCCTTGTGGTCCGTCAGATGGTGAAAGAGAGAACACTCCATCAGAGGATGCAGCTGCAAATGAATGAGAGGCCACTGTTGGTCTTTTGATGTTGTGAGAACTAGTGGTTCGTATTCTAATATCTAAATAGGCGACCACTAAATTTCTGCACTCTCTTTCCACGCAGTTCCCAAACACATCCTCTACCTCACCTTTATTTCCATTATTATAAATGACACCCACCAATTTGTCAACTTTCCCACCATTTCGTATGATGACAGGAGGAGATAGCACATGGAGGGGACACACACAGCAGCACATAGTCCAAACCCATTGTTTAAGTGGGTGAAGTAGGTGGAGAGTAGGTGGATTTTAACAATTCCTTTATTACATCTATACCCATATCCATCATCACCCTCCTTCTTTATTTATTTCTTTTAATCACCTTTTGCACCCCACTTTCCTTTTATTTATTTTATTTTATCTTCCTTTTTTCGTAAAAAAAAAAAAAAAAAAAAAAAAACATCCACCCACATGGCATGTCCCTCAACCTTTTGACAAGTTATTTTTCTTTTTCTTTTTATCCCCGTATTTATCATTTTCGTTTTTTCCTATATATATATATTAACAAAAACAAAAAAAAAACAAAAAAAACCAACAATACAGATTTGCACAACAACTTTGTTTTATTTACATTAGGGATCAACCCCGATCACAATTTTACACAAAAAAAAAAAAAAAACCAACAACAACAACAACAAACCAAAACACAACACCAAGACGGCCACCCACCGACCTCACTTCTTCGCCTATTCCGCCGGTCTTTTCTTCTTGCCTCCGTCCTGGGCGGCCCTTGACGGTGTTGCCTCCGTGTTTCCCACTCCACTGGGCACGATCACTCCTCCCTGCTCCTCCACTACAGCATATGGTGGACCTCCAAATCGGAACATCACGGTGGCCTTCCGCTTCAGCTCCTTGTTTTCTGTCTTTCAGCACACTTATCTCTGCTCGCGCATCCTTATACATGCGTTAGAACAGAGCCAGCTGGGAGTTTAACTGTTGCACCTCATTTGTCCTGCTCTGCAGCCGGTGCGACAAGTTTGTGACCGCAGTCATGGTTTCCACACATGACTTCAGAGTATACTGATTGGCCTCAATATCAGTTTGCACCGCCATTTTATGCTTCACCGACCGCATCGGAAAGTTCAACGGAGCAAACACAGAGGTGTTTGGTTGAGGTTCACTGGCCACCGCACCAGTTCTCTCTCTTGTTGACTCATTGAGGTCGGGAAAGAGAGTGAGTAGACCACGGGATGAAGAGGCCATATTCTGGGTAGCTGAACGGGAAGAAGAGGCCATGTTTTTTGGGTTGCTGAGTGTTTCCGATAAGGGTTGGATACAGAGTATTTACAGATTGTTTCAGAATAACAAGTTCAGAGGTTTCAGTCTGGTTTGGTTTTCTCCGCCTCCGCATTGGTTTATATTGACACAGACGACGCGGCCGACATGCCGCTCTGTCGCTCACGTGCCTCGCCGCGTCTCCGGCTCACCTTTTGATGGCTCGACGCTTTATGTTGGGCACGACTTTTGATGAAGTGGGCGCGCCTTTTGAGGGCGCAACTTTTGATGGCACGCTTTTTGAAAGATTGGGCACACCTTTTGAGGGTGCGACTCCTTTATGGGTCCGACAAGACTCTGTAAACTGTCCCGATATTGATTCCGATTAGCTCCTTCATGGGTCCGACAAGACTCTGTAAACTGTCCCGACATTGATTCCGGTTAGCTCCTTCATGGGTGCGACAAGACTCTGTAAACTGTCCCGACATTGATTCCGGTTAACTCCTTCATGGGTCCGACAAGACTCTGTAAATTGTCCCGACATTGATTCCGGTTAGTTTCTACAAGGGTCCAGCAAGACTCCGTAAACTGTCACAAAATTGTCTTCTACAACGGTCCGACATGACCCCATAAACTGTCCCGACATTGATTCCTATTTTTATGTATTTTCTTGTTTTGTTACTCTCTCCAAACTCAAGTTGGTTAGTTCCTATCCCCCTTGAGTTTGCGGGGGGCTGTTAAAATCTACCTACTCCACTAAACATTCACCCACTTAAACCTACTCCACTAAACCTAACCCACTACACCACTATCACCTCACCTACTCCACTAAACCTAATCCACTACACCACTACCACCTCACCTACTCCACTAAACCTAACCCACTACATCACTACCACCTCACCTACTCCACTAAACCTAACCCACTACATCACTACCACCTCACCTACTCCACTAAACCTAACCCACTACATCACTACCACCTCACCTACTCCACTAAACCTATCACCTACTTCACCCACTTAAACCTACTCCACTAAGCCTAACCCACTACACCACTACCACCTCCACTTCACCTACTCCTTACCTACTACACACTCACCCTCTTCTATATATAGGAATCATGAATCATTGTAATGTACATCAATATATATCAATCAATAATACATACAATTTATTCTCTCCTTTCTCTATATCAATATATTTTTTACAAGCGGTATATTGCCGAGCACGATAGCTTAGCTCTGCCACATGATGCAAACTACGTCAGGCACTTCATATTTTGACTCATTTGTTTTGGAACTCTTGCTTACTAGGGCAGTAACCAGGCTAGTGAGTTGACTATCCATACTGTTGAATATAGAAATCAAAATATTATGTTTGAATATGGAAATTAGAATAGGAATTATTTTGATTATAGGAATCTTACCTTGTGTTTATTGTTTCCTAAAGTGATCATGAATATATTATATATACATGGCCTCTACTTCATTAATTGGTAAGCCAAATAATTTTTTTCATTCTTTTTGGTATCAGAGCCTCCTTAGACCACCCATCACCACCGACTACCTTTTTTCTTCTCTCTAGCCTCTGATAGCCCTATCCAACTCCTTTTCTCCCTCAGCCCAGCCTCTCAACCCAACCTTCGCAGCCCCTCTTCTTCCTTGTCTTCACCTCGGTAGGCCTTCTTTATCCCTGCTGAGGCTTTGGTTGCGGCCGACCAGACTTGGTTCTGGTCTTACGTGCTTCAGCTACCTCTTTAGATGGTTCGTGGCTGTTTTTTTCCCCCTCCCTTCTTGGGGTGATTAGACTGATGTATTAAGTCCCTTTGTCTGTCCTTTTATTCTTTTGGGTTATCAGGTTTATTCGGTAGCATCTATTTAGATAAGCCGTTGAGTTTTTTCCGGCTTCTTATTTTTTCTTGGACTGTGTTGCTATCTTTGTGTGTTTTTTAGCCCCTCTTCTTGCACCATGACTGATTCATCCTTTGTTGATATACCCACCAAGCCTGCTCTTGGGTCTCCTCATCTCCCTAATTTACAAGAGTTACAGACTCAGATTGGTCAACTTCAGGCACAGCTCGGATCTCTTACTGCTTGTTCTCCTAGCCCATCATCTACCACTGCTGCCACCCTTACAATAGGTATTTCTACTACTTTCCATGTTCGGTCTACTAGTCCCTCATGGGTTCTGGATTCTGGGGTTAATGATCATATAATGGGTGAGTTTTCATTTCTTTCTTCGCAAGTCCCTACTACTATTGCCCAATCTATGTGTCTTGCTGATTGTTCGTTATCCTCTATTCGTCATAAGGGTGTAATGTCTTTATCCCCTACCATTACTTTATCATTTGTTTTACATGTTCCAAAGTTTGCATATAATTTTAATTTGTTAATCGTCTTGCCAAACAATTTAATTGTGTTGTCATATCTTCTTACCCTCATCTTACCTTTTACAGGACATGAGTTCGAAGAGGATTTTTGGCAAGGGCTATGAGCGTGATGGGCTGTACTACTTTAGGGATGCACCAGACAAGCTTTCCACTTGTTCCTTCGCTAGTTTTCAAGCCCCTATTTTGCCTGCTTCTATGTCTTGTGCTTTTAATATTCAAACTTTAAAATTATGGCATGCTCATATGGGTCATATTAATGTTTGGTATTTATGTCAACTTTTTCCTTCATTTAATAAAGCTTGCAAAGATTCTAAGTTTCATTGTATGATTTATGAGTTGTCAAAGAATACCCGTACTAGCTATATCCCTTATATGACTCGTGCTCCTAGTGCTTTTGATCTTACACATTTTGATGTCAGGGGCCCTTCCACTGTCACTGCTTTTTCTAGTCATAGATATTATGTGACTTTTATTGATGATCACACTAGGTGCACTTAGTATTATTCAAAGAGCGCCTAGGCGCAAGGTCCAGCCATGCCCACCCCTTGCGCCTTGCAATGGTCAAGGCGAGGCGACTTCACTAAGGAGCGATTAAAGCGTACGACTGAAACAAGGTGCAATTAAGCCCAAGGCGTAGTACTTGAGGGGTTTTTTTTTTTATTATTTGAATTGGACCACTGAAATTACATGGGTCAGGTACAGCAGATTATATCCTTCAAATGTACATGCTAATATTGTCGATTTAGGCCCAAATCAACATCAACAAATGAAAAAACAAGCCCTAATCCAAAACTCTGAAGAAGTTGAACTTGTCGTCCAGTCCTGGAGCTTCAAATGTGTAGGCATGTTCTTTTTCTCTTTGTTTCTTTGTCTCTTCTTTCCCTTCTATACGTCTGCTCTTCTCTTCGCCAGTCGTCCTCTTCTTCGTCTGTTCTTCTCTTCCCCATGCCACCTTCTTCTTATTTTTCGTTTATGTTTTGGAATGCTCTATTTTTGTCTATAGAGTTAGGTTGAGCTGAGATTTTTAGGGTTTCAAATATACCTATGCTGTCTTCTTCTTCGTGTTCTCCTCTGCTTTTCTTTCGCTTTTATTTTCTGCTTTTCTTCTTCTTTTTATTTTATTTTATTTTCTTCTCTGCTTTTCTTCTCTAGATTGCTCTGTTTATTAAATATTTATTTTGAATTGATCTGTTTCTTCTCTACTTTTATGATTTAGTTGACCTTTAGATCATGGATATTCGTGTTTTACATTGAACTTTGAAATATTACTCATTTGTCTATGTTAAAATAGTGATATTTGTTGGTATTTATTTTTTTAAAATGCTTGGTCTATGTTATACCAATTAGTTATTTGCTTATATGCCTCATATTAAATTATATTATTTTAACCTGCCATGGTGCACCTTACTTCGATGGAACCCGCGCATTAGGCCTTAGGAGACCTTGGCGCCTTGGTGCGCTTATTGCTTTTAATAACATTGGATGCACTTGGGTTTATCTAATTCGTCGTAAGTCTGATGTCTCTCATTTTTGTCCAATTTAGATTGTTAAAACTAAGTTCCATGCAATTGTTAGGACTATCTGTTCTGATAATGGTGGGGAATATATTTCTAATGCATTTCATTCCCATCTTAATCAAACCGGTATTCTTCAACAACTTATTTGTCTTTGGACCCTTGAACAAAATGGTGTTACTGAACGCAAAAATCGCCAAATTATGTCTGTTGTCCAATGTCTTCTTCGAGGTATGGGTGTTCCCAAGTCTTATTGGCATCTGGTTGTCCTTACTGCTGTTTACCTCATTAATAAGATCCCTAGTCATGTGTTGCATGAACTCACTCCGTTTTATACCCTTATGCCCACCACTACTCTGTTTCCACTCTTATCTCGTATCTTTGGGTGTACTGATTTTGATCAAAATCGGAGTCTCACTCGTACAAAGTTAGATGACAAATCTATTCGTTGTATCTTCTTAGGGTACTCTTCCATGTCCAAAGGGTATAGGTGTTATGACCCTGTGTCTAGTCACTTTCACCACACTATGGATGTTATGTTTTGTGAGGATCTTCCTTTTTTTGGTACTAAGTTATTAACCCTTCTTTGCAGGCTTCTCCTTCTGTTACTTTCACTGTTCGCCCGGTGACCATTTTGGAGGCAGTCCCCCTTCTTCTTCTCAACCTTCGCCTCCTCCTCCATTGCAAGTATACTCCCGTCATCCACGCACTCAAACCCCCCTACCGGCACTCCGATTTCTGGGTCAAGTATAACTCTTCTTCTTTAGCTTCTCCTCCACCTCCTCGTCGTAACCCACATCTGGATCGACATCCTCCAAATCGTTTGAGTTATTTGAGTAGTACTTACCATCCTATTTCCCAATATCTTTCCTATGATAGGGTTTTCCCTTCTTACTGTTCAAGCTTGAGTCGGAGTCCATTCCTCGTTCTATATCTGAGACCTTTCAGAATCCTAAATAGGTAGCGGCTATGCAGACTGAGATGGCGGCCTTAGAACAGAATCACACTTGGGATCTTGTACCTTTATCTCATGGGGAAAGCACAATTGGTTACAAATGGGCGTTCACCATAAAGTACCTCGTTGATGACTCAGTTGACCGTTACAAAGCCCGCTTGGTGGCCAAAGGTTTCACACAGATTCTTGACAAGGATTTTGGTGCCACTTTTGCCTCTGTCGCTAAGCTTACTTTTGTATGTCTCCTTATCTCCCTTGCAGCATCTCATTCTTAGCCTCTTCATCAGCTTGATGTCAAGAATACATTTCTCCATGGAAATCTTCTTGAGACGATTTATATGGCTCCTCTACCCAGTTTTCGGGCTAAGGGGGAGTATTTGGGAAAAGTGTGCCGGTTACGCAAATCCTTGTATGGTTTGCAATAGTCACCACGAGCATAGTTTGGTCGCTTCAGTTCTGTTATTATATCTATGGGCTTTGTTCAGTGCCACTCCGATCACACTTGTATCATTCGCTGGAATTCTACAGGTCAGTGTATACTCTTGCTAGTTTATGTGGATGATATTATTCTTGCAGGTGATGACTCTCGGTATTGGTCAAGTAAAGAAGGACTTGGGCCAAATTTTTGATATTAAGGATTTGAGATGTCTCAATATTTTTTGAGAATTGAGGTGGCTCGCTCAAGGGAGGAGATCTCCTTATCTCAAAGAAAGTACACTCTTGACTTGCTTCAGGATACTGGTATGTTAGGGTATAAACCTGTTTCTACTCTTATGGATCCTAATATCAAACTCACATCAGTGTCTGGTGAGTTGCTGGATGACCCAGGCATGTATCAGTGTTTTGTTGGACACCTTATTTATTTGACCAACACTAGACCTGATTTGACATTTGCAATTAGTACATGCATGCACCTCGTAAAGAGCACCTTGACGTAGTTCATTATATTTTGAGGTATTTAAAAACTTCTCCTAACTTGGGATTGTTCTTTACTGTTGGTCTCCAATCTGGGCTCTCCTATTTCACCGATGCAGACTATGCAAGATCTAGGACTGATTGGCGTTCCACTTCTGGCTTTAGTACTTTCCATGGTGATCATCTTATCTCATGGAAAAGTAAGAAGCAAGCGGTGATTTCTAGGTCTTTTGCAAATGCTGAGTATCGGGCTATGGCACATGGGACATGTGAGATTCCTTGGATTCGCTCTATTCTGACAGAGTTGGGTTATGAGAAGACTTTTCGTTCCTCTTTATTTTGTGATAACAAATCTGCCATTATGTTAATCCTCTGATTCTGTACTTCATAAGCGTAGCAAGCATATCGAGGTTGACATACATTTCATTCAAAAAAAGGTTTCGACTGGCATTATGTGTCCATCCTTTGTCTCTTCTTCTCAGCAATTGACAGATATGTTCACAAAATCTGTGGGACCAACTTTGCTCCAGTCTTCCATTGACAAGTTGTGTTGATTGAATATCTTCACGCCAGCTTGAAGGGGAGTGTTGAATATATGAATTATTATGTTTAAATATGAAAATTAGAATAGGAATTATTTTGATTATAGGAATCTTATCTTGTGTATATTGTTTCCTTATAGGAATCTTACCTTGTGTATATTATTTTCTGAAGTGTATCATGAATATATTATATATACATGGCCTCTACCTCATTGATTGGTAAGCCAAATAATTATTTTCATTCTTTTCATACTTGGTGGTGTATATGCCCTTGCTTAGGCTATTGAAGAGATGCATAAATCAGAGAAAAAGTTTTGCTTCTCCGTGACTAAAATTACAGTTCACGAAAACAGACAGAATGTCATTTGTTAATCCTTACAAGTTAACACACACGCTATACTCTTAACTAACAAAGAACAATACAATGATGCACCAGTCAGCTTAAAACAAAATAAGTAGCTCTGTATGTATGTATAGCCATTGTATAATCCAATCATGTAGAATCTCAACAGTGAAGGAAAGACACAGAATTAGTCCCTGAGCTAGTCCCCAGATCCATGCAAAAAGTGTTGAGAAATACCAGAAAGGAAAAAGAACAGCAATGAACCAACATCTTAAACAATTTCAACACCTGTGCAGGCTTAGAAGACAAAACTAGCAATGCAGGAGAAAGTCCCAACAGCACACACACCAAAATAATTTATTTAAAAAATTAAAATAAAAGAAAAAAGAAAAAAGAATAAGAAATCATACTGAGATTATGAACTAACAATTGGAATCATTAAAATATACAAACATTAAATAAGAACTCACTGACTGCGACTTCACAACCATGACTCTTCCAACCGAAAGAGCTTGTTGGAAGTGGGAGGACTGCATGAGTGCCTCTGATATCTGGTTGCTATGTTTCTCAGCTTCTGAGTGCATCTCATAGTATTCCTCAATTGAGGGTTCACCCTTTATACATCTACATGCATAAATCCATGGTTATTGAACTGTGAAAATACAATGGAAGGCATAATGTAGCTCTATAAGATAAATAAGATTTACAACTTGAATACGAGTATAATAATGTTTGCTCATATAGTAGGTGAAATGATGGTATAAAGTATGAATTTTGCCTTTTAACATCATTGGACTACATAGAGAACAAAGATAACCAGAGGCTTTGATTGCTACAAGAATAATATATCCCACAATCACACACCACAGGTCCCACATCCTCTTTGATGTAAATATAAATGTATTATTAATGAATACAAATAAATTGTACCTCCATACCTTCCTTTTTTTTTTTCTTTTTATCTTTTTTTTTTTTTTTTTGGATTTACGACCTCCATACCTTCATATGCATTGGTTGTGCTATCAAATTTTTAATTTTTATTCAATGTAACAAAAAATTAAAGCATGTGTGAAAATGAAAGTATTTTTTTTTTCGTTGATAAATAAGAATATTATTAAGAAACTAAAACATCAAAGAGATGCAAAAGAATACAAAAAGGCACCCCCAAGAAAGGAACACCACACAACAAACAAAACTAAACAAATCAACCAATCACGTCATCTAAAAAGTCCAAAATGGTAAACAAATCTGGATGCACCAGCCCAGACACCCAACCGCACAAAACATGAAGAAACCTTGATTCCAACCAATACACCGAATGGACAACCTCCCGGAAAATACGACGGTTCCTCTCCAGCCAAATGAGCCACATCAAACATAGAGGAGCCCAAGCCTTTCAACGCCTCTTCCCCACCCAACCCCCTGCACAACTCCACAAAACCCCCAACACTCCTTCCAGTTGAACCCACTGCATCCCAAAAGTAGAAAAAATAAGAGCCCACAAGCGAGAAGCCACCGGACACTGAACAAGCAAATGGTCCACCGACTCCGAAGCAACACAACACATACAACACCAATTAACCAAAACATGCCCCCGACAAACCAGATTATCGATAGTCAAAATACTGTCAAAAGCCGCTATCCACACAAAGAAAGCGACCTTAGATAGAACACCTGTGACCCAAATCCAACACCAAGGAAACTCCCCCTTTATAGCACCACATAAACCCAAGTAAAAAGAAGAAACCAAGAAAATACCCTTAGAACTTGGCCCTCCCCAAATCAAGACATCTTCCCCCACACTTGCAATTGGCACCCCATAAAGAAAAGCTAGCAAATCTACAATCTACCCAAGTTCCCAATCCTGATCCCACCTCCAACCCCAGCCGCCCCCCCCTAAAAAAAAAAGAAGAAGCCACCACCGCATCCGGATCTATCACAAGACAAAAAATCAGCAAGAATCGATCCTGCAACACCTCCACACCACACCACCGATCCTTCCAAAATCGAGCCCTCACACCAGAATCCACCCAAAAATGAACTTGTTCCCAAAACTCCCCCCTCCCCAACCAAATACCTTTCCATAACCCACACCCATGAAACCCCCTCACATTCCTTGTACTCCAATCACCATGATCCACCTCATATTACAATTACAACCAAATATGCTCCATCTCAACTTAGATTACTACAACATTTTTATTTAGCCTCCCCACCAAAATTTTTCAAGGCGAATGCATAATGTGAATCATTTTACCTCTCATGAAGCAAGGTGCAAGTATTTCAAAATTTGAAATTTTATATTTAGTAAATAAATAAAAAATATTTTTAAAAAGTAAAAAAAATTAAAATTAAATGTAAATGTGTAAATACTTTTTTTTTCAAAAAAAAAAAAAGCCCTTATAAAATGTGGAATCGACATTCTTAATTTCAATTATGGAGCTTCTCACTTGAACCTTAGTTTTGTATTTTTTCTTGGTTCATCATTTACTTAATTTTCCCATGGCATATAGTTACAAAACAGATTTTTATTTACTATTTTTTTTTTATGTTTAAACCACGTATTAAAATAGGTTTAACAACAATCCAAAACAAGCCATCCATTTGTACTACTCATATGCTTAAGCGCAAAAAGTGTACAAGGCGCACACCTCATACAATGATGTGCAAGGCTTTAGGGAATGTTGTCTAAAAATCAAAGCCTCGATGTGTTTTGTCTTAGCGTCACCTTGAGATGAGCCTCCATAACACCTTTTAAAACTTTGGTCACCACAAAAGTGGGGGAAGGAAGACTACCTACCTATTACCTCTTCAAACCCTACTATAAGTTGGACCCATGTGCCCCTATTACAAGTACAACATTTTATTTATCTTTGGAAATAAATAAATAAATAAATAAAGCTAACCAATGTTGCTCAAAATAAGTAAAGCCTCTTAAAAACTGTAACTTCCAAATTTAGAGATTCATGCATTTGACTTCCTTATGAATCTGGTCTTCTCTCTAGAAACTAAATGAAAACTAGTCAAGCTACATCCAAAGAACAATAAATTTTGCCAGAATAAGATATTTTGTTAAAGAAGAATACAATTCATTGGGTGCAGGTGATGTTGATGTCCATGAAGAGTGTGCCACATTTCTAATTCAATTTATGGAGCCTGATATTAAAGCCAACACTCATGACGAGTGATGAGTGGGCAAGATAGTCACATGGCTTGCCCTTAAAAGCCACCTGACCTCATGCACCTAAAGAACTATACCTAACTATTTTCCTTCATTAAGCCCTCTATCAAGCATCATATTTACTCACAAATCATTTTGTAAGCAATCATTCATCAGTTGAAGCATCCAAATGCATCACAAAGCACATAAATATTACTACTCAAATGGAACTGCTTAATACAAAACAAAAGGTTACTATTATAACACAAATATATAATTTCAATTCAAAAAGGCATACTTATATACTGCAACTAATACCAGCTACAAGGATGCCCAGAGAAAATATAGTTTATCATGAGGAACACGAAAACTCTAGCAGACAAGTTGGCAATCCCAATTCTCCTCTAAACATACATACTCGATAGTTTTCGTAGGCAGAGCAAGCTTTCGCATTAGCAGTTGTTGTTTCTCTGGAAGTTTCTTCTGAGAATGAAATTCAGCAAAACTTCTTTTCAACATGTCCTCCACCTGCAGTGATTCCCCAATCAACATGGGCAAAATTAACTTTTAGGACGAGAAAACTATTGAGAGATAGCTTTAACCTTAAATGAATGTACTTGGAACAAGGGGAACAAGAAATTATTTTTGGTGTATATAGATAGAGCAGAATGGTGAAAAAGGATTCATGTAGCCTATCCCCATTGGGACACAAGGCTTACTTTGGTATAATTTGGTTTGGTTTGGTTTGGGAAAGAGCACAGTTGAAAGTGGGTATATGTATATTTAAGACTGTAGAAATTTAATGTATAAAGAGAAATAAAGAATTGTATTATTGATTCATATCTTGTTATGTTTACAATGATTCCTATATATAGAAGAGAAGAATAGGTAGTAGGTGGAGTAGGTGAAGTGGAGTAGGTGAAGTGGGTGGAGTAGGTGTAGTGGAGTAGGTGAAGTGGGTGAAGTAGGTGATAGATTTTAACAGCCCCCGCAAACTCAAGGGGGATAGGAACTAACCAACTTGAGTTTGGAGAGAGTAACAAAACAAGAAAATAGATTAATACATAAAATAAAAGAAGATAGGAGACACTGTATGGTCGTGTCAGACCGTTGGTGAAGACACTGTATGGTCGTGTCATAACGGTGTAGAGGGACACTGTATGGTGGTGTCATAACGTTGTAGAGGACACCGTATGGTGGTGTCAGACCGTTGGTGAAGACACTGTATGGTGGTGTCATAACGGTGTAGAGGACACTGTATGGGGGTGTCATAACGTTGTAGAGGACACTGTATGGGGGCGTCAGACCGATGTAGAAGACAGTTTACGGGGTCATGTCGGACCGTTGTAGCAGACAATGTTGTGACAGTTGTTGTGACAGTTTACAGAGTCTTGCTGGACCCTTGTAGAAACTAACCGGAATCAATGTCGCGACAGTTTACAGAGTCTTGTCGGACCCCTTAAAAAGTCGCACCCTCAAAAGGTGTGCCCAATCCATA